AATTTCTTATGTTCATGCTGAAAATAATCAATTTCTATTGTTACGAATAACAATGGACTTTGTTTGCGGGATGTAGAAGCAGGGGTTTCCAGAAACCCCGATCGTCACACCCTGTGGTCAAAATCCATTGTTATTCGTAACAATAGAGCTATTCAATTTACACTTGTTTCAGAAATAGAAACTATGAAGTATAACAATAGAACTGGGGTGTAACACTGGAGAAAGCGTTATGTAGATAAGACGTTTGGCGGGAAAGTCAGTGACCGGATCGGATATGGGTGTTTGTGAGGGATTCTCACGTTCAGTTATTGGAATATTTAGAGAACATCCCTATCCCGGAAATAATGTACTCGACCTGGGGTATATAAGCCGATGAGAAATGCATCTTAAAGCTGTCAATGAGCTGTCAAATTTCGGTCGATGTTCTTGTAAAGAAGATCAGCAGATCAACAGAATGTACGAATATATTAAATGCTAATAGAGCTTTAATATTGTGAGGTCACGAAGCAAACGTGCAAGTTGATATGATAAAGTAAAGATGACAGATCAGACTCTACCAGCCTTCACTGTCTGGTAGTGACGGACTGTCCCACTCGGAAGACAAACTGTACCAGCCCCACTGCCAGGCTGTAAAGATGTATTATATTTTTACATACAGTAAGTAATTGTTCGTTGTTGCTTTAAATCTGCAAAGTGCCAGTGTTTTTATTTCAGCTCGTTGTACATATGATAAAAAAGATAGTTATAGATTTTTGGTAACACCGTATTGTTTATGGACATCTTGAATTCAAGTATTTACTGGAACGAATCGTTTAAGATATAAACGCCTTACTAGTTACACGTTACATATTTGGTGGCTAGCGGTTGGGATTCAAGTTGTTTATTAAATACTATTTACACCCCAGTTCTATTGTTATACTTCATAGTTTCTATTTCTGAAATAAGTGTAAATTGAATAGATCTATTGTTACGAATAACAATGGATTTTGACCACAGGGTGTGACGAGCGGGGTTTCTGGAAACCCCTGCTTCTACATCCCGCAAACAAAGTCCATTGTTATTCGTAACAATAGAAATTGATTATGAACATAAGAATTTACTAATAGTGTTCACTACAAATTGTTTCACACATTTTAAGAAATTCCAATAAGCATCTATATGGAATACAAAACTAATTCTTTAAATACTTTTTTGCTTGAAGGTATTTTTTTTATCCCAGTCATATAATTGTCTCTATTCTAAAGCATTGATCTTTAAAAAAAAATTGGGATTCTAACTCCCGGACCCCCCTCCCCCGGTTACCCAGTGGCTGATCCGGGGTTGAGGGTTCCGCGGGTTGGACCCGACTTTTATTTAAAAGATCAATGCATTTGAATGGTTGGACCCCCCCCCCCCCCCCTTTTTTTCTCTTGAGTTGGGAACCCCCGGCTGGATCAGCCCCTGATTGCCCCTCAAAAAAGGGAGTTCCTCAATTTTAAATATTGTATGTTGAGCGTGTCTTGTAGTCGGGCTCTAATGCAGACACACCTATTCCTTAGTATGTTCGAATATGAATGTTTGTTTATTCTCGAGATGAGGGAGGGGGGCTTTTGTTTTTAATAAAATCGTAAGATATAAAATACAGTTATGATTACCTTTATTAGACTGATACAGGTAAGTACTTTGGGTTATAATATTGTCTTTATCTTTAGTCTCTTCTACCAAATCCAACGCTTGCCACAAAATGTCGTCCGTCTTATACCCGTCCAACTTGACAACTGTATACCAGGAGCATGATGTATTTTTTGTTTGTAATAAGAATACACGAAACAGTTAACCTTGACCTGCTGATCCATATTAGCACATGGATTTAACGGGAATATGCAAAACAACTTGACATTTGTAAAATATACTCACTTGTCAAAGTTTGAACGAAGATAACCAAAGAAAGGTTACTAGTGGGGTTTCATGTAACAAAAAAATATTCTTATAAATCATGGTTTGATATTATCAATAAATATGCTATCGGTATTTTTTTTCATTTAATAATCAATGTTAACAAATATAGGGTTTAGAATGGGGTGTAAGTTAGTTATACAACTCGGGATACGGTGTGTCTGGATAAGAAACCCCTCCGGCCTCCGGCCGACGGGGTTTCTTATCCAGACACACCTATCCCTCGGTGTATAAATATTACTTGATTGATTGATTGTCATTTGATTCATTGTCAGTTGACATTAGTATTTATTTAAAGGATCGAATTCAATCAACCGTAAGACACAGTTGCAGTTCACGATTGAGTTGTAACTCAAGTGTAGCATTCAACAAAAATATTATAAAATACTAGTTGTCTTATTTGAATGACACTATACTGCGATAAATATGTCAAATATGTCGATCAGATTGCTGAAATAAGTAGACAAATACCGTCTCGTAGTGAAAGCGCAATGCAACCTGGACTTAGTTTTATATCTTCTATACCTGAAGGTCATGATGTACGTCCAAAGGTCCTCAAGCAGTCCTTATCGATTTACCAAAGGAAACGAATCAAATATTTTCAGACCTAGTTAATGCCCTAGAGGAACGCTTTGCTCCTTCTAGTCAAACTGAACTATATCGTGTTTAATTCAGTGAACGCCGATAAAAAGCAATCGAGACTTCACCGTTAGGTCAGTCAGTTCGAAGACTTTCCAATTAGGCCTTTCCGACTGCCCATTTGAATAACGGGAAACGCTCACCAAAGATCAATTTATTGATGCGTTAATATTCGTCAAAATGAGACTGAGATTTAAACAGTCTCGTCTAAAAGGACTTAACGAGGCTATATGGTTGGCAGTTGAGCTTGAAGCTTAAGACACGGCTTAGAGTAGAACGATGAAAAGTATTGGCCTCTGAAGACCTACTACGAGTGATGAACGGACAGAGGCATCTAATAGTTCTTATACAGTTGTATCTATGGAGCACATGCCGACATGGATGCAGACGATTGAAAATAATTTACAGTCCGTAACAAAAGCGCATAGAGCTTTAAAGTCCTTGAGCAATTCCCAACCACGTGGGAAGATTGCAAACACCCAAAGTAAAGGAAAAAGGGGTGGTTCCTGTTTCAGTTGCGGAGTAATAGGACACTTTGCGAGAAATTGTCCCTATAATATTAAGAAACAAAGTATTCGGAGATCACATAAGAAAGGACTTGATTCGGACGGATCAGTCAATGCACTGAAGTCTGAAAACAAGTCTTCAAAAAATGATAAAGGCGGTGTTATTTTAGCATCAGAGGATGCAGAAATGTTTGTTGGGCTGATCATTTACGATGTAGCAGTTAAGTTTGCGGTTAATGCTGGAGCTTCACTAACTCTAGTTTCTACAAGGGTGTATAATTTAATTTCCGACTTGTATAAACCACATATGAGTGAAACTAAATCACAGATAAAGCCTTCGAGGTAAAGGTAGTTTAACACTGGAGTTTGGTAAAGAGAAGTTTAATTCAGAGGCCGAGTAACTGATCTACACGTAGATGGTATTCAAGGTTTAGACTTTATAAAGAAAAATAAGTGTCTGATTGATGTGTCTGCTAACTTTTTTCACACCGATAACTTAAGTGTTTCCTTAATTTTTCAAGGTACCCAACATAGAAATTCTGAAGCATTAAGTCGTGTTCCTAGCAAGCAATGTAGGTGTACATCAGACAGGCAGCCAAAAACGAACAGAGAGTGTTCTAAGAGCAAGGAAATACAAGTCAAAATCGTAACCAGTCAGAAACCTGAGAATGGTAAAAAGTTTACCTTAATAGAACTACAATCTAATGACTCAAACCTTAAACTAGTTGAGCGGTTATTGACAGAAGGTCAAAGGCCACAATACAATGAGGTATCCGGTAAAAGATTCTTTATTAGGTCATTATTGAATCAGTTTAATAGTTTGGAACTCCAATATGGTATAGTATTTAGACGCTTTGACGACAAAGAACGGAAAGTTGTGAAATTACAAGCGGTAATTCCATTATCTGCACGCAAACAGATTTTACACTACTGCCATGATGCAAAATATGCTGGTCACTTAGGTATGCATAAAACGCTAGAGAAAATACGCCAGTGTTACTATTGGCAATCTGACGTTAGAGCATATGTTGCTGGTTGCGATAAGTGTGTTATGAGAAAAACACAAAGGAAAAGGAAGCGCTCTCCAATGGCCTTTAAGTTAGTAGAAACAAGTAGTCCTGTGGAAAGGTTAGCTACTGATATTATTATAGTGCACTTCCGGAAACTGAAAACGGCAATCGGTTTATCTAAGTTGTTTCAGATTACTATACTAAATGTAGAGTCCTTTCTTATGTCCAATATGGAAGCAATTACTGTTGTTAAAATAATTATAGAGGAGGTAATAGCTCGATTTGGTGTTATACAAATACTAGTATACCAAATATAACAGACAACAACAAACGAAAACCACTCAATTACTGACTCCTGACTTGGGATAGGCACATTACGAATTTCGCCAATGTTCACCATAACACCGCCTTCCTCACTTGAGACAGTGGTGTAACACTTCTTCATAAGAACAAAAAAAGCTGGGTTTTTTTTTTTCATAAAACCGCGTAAAAAGTTGGTAAAATAGCATTTTTTGTTCGGTATAAATGTCATGATCGAGGACATTAAGAAATTTAAAAACATAACAAATATGAAAATTGCCATGATATTCATGCAATAATTACACATTGGAAGCATGAAACTGTCTTACTAAGATTTCCTTTTAGCACGATTCTGTTCTAAAGTACAGTGATCTACTTTTAATTTGCGTGTTGGGTGGGTGGCGGAGGGGAAAAACCAAATACGCATAACATTCAATTTGTCTTATTGTGATTCCTTTTTTAAAAACACAGAATAATCGAAAGTTTTACCAATTCTGTTTTGGTGTGCGAGTGTGTGGGTAAATTTTAAAGACTGAGCTACGTTATAACGTAAACAAAATAATATCTATAAATCTTAAAAAAGTATTTATAAAATAATTATAGACATTAACAAGAAAAAAAACATTTATTATACGATGCAGTTTATATACAATGAATTTGTTATATTAAAGTCATACAAAAGTCTGATATGATGATAAGATAAATCAACAAATAAATGTTCTTTAGAGATAAAAGATTAAACAAAAAATAGAATTAAGAAAAAATGTGACCAGTTTAGAAACACACATTCAAATTGTTATGTAAGGAAACAATGTTAATAATACTCGCACGCACTAATCTATTATTCTGTCTAATAATGTTCATTAGACATGTCAAGGATATGACCAAAAAAATCAGAAGATAGATAAAGTATGAACAGACTGGTAAAGTCCTCTAAGTATCTGAAAAAGAATTTAAAAAAGTCATTGTTAATTATTTGGATGCTGTAAAAGATGGAACTCCTTTAAGACTTATGTATTTTCTAAATCAATCTTTTTTTCTTTACTTAGTACAATTTACACGGATGGTTTAAACACGTGTATGCCTTGTTGTCATTCTAACTCAAAATCAAAATGAAACCTTATTCACAATTCGTGTCTTCAAAATAGTCTGCCTGGTAATGTTAGGTGATACCCTATCGGCAGTTTTGCTGTGGTTTTGTACCAGTTGAATTTAAACAGTATAGAACAAGTAATATCAGGACCAACATTCCAGTTATATATTTACAGACCAACAAAAACCGATACGTACGAACAACTGACACAACACCAAAAACTTTGGAAATATCAGCTATAATAAAAACACAGAGTAAAATCAAAACATTTTCTGCCCAATTATTAATGCAGGTAAAAAATCAGATTACGCATCGGTAAATCACTCGTTTAAAGATGTGAAGCTCTTGGCGAAAGATACATTAAAAATCATTTGTGCTACACTTGACAACGCACATCACGAGATCAGTTGAACTAGAGCTTTTATTATAGAATCTTTCTTTTAAAAGACATCGCTGTTTTAGGACAGGGGTTGCTAGGGAGCCAGAACATATTTACTGACTAGGTGTTCTTTTTGTTTTATAACTTTGGCATACTGAAAGGTGTTAAATGATCATTAAAAAGTTCACATCTCACAGAATGATTATAATGGTTCTAGTATCGACTAAAGTTGTTCTCTTTGGCATTTATTGACAATCCGGATATACATTTTTGAAGGAACATATGTTTGACTGATAAAGATTGTTTTAATGTGGTTTGAAATCATGAATGATTAAGTTACGTAACCATAAGAAATACCGGATTTAATTCAATGCTCCATAAGAGCTAGATTTTTGCCCAAAAAACAAGAATGTTCACTAATGGCAAACAATGCTTTCAAAACACACGACCGAACTCTTAATAACCACTCAAACTTAAAACTCTTAATAACCAAGATACCATTTCCTGATATTTATTAGTACAATGACAATACAATTGCAGTTAATGTTGATGCTGCGACATAACTCAAATATGACCTTAAATGTATTATACATACTGTTTATTTACATTGGTAGTGTTAATAAGATTTCCTTTGCATATGTTTTATACTAAAGTATATTTAAAAAAAACACAAGGACATCCTGTTGCAAACATACGGTCTTTGATGATAAACAAGACAGATATGTTGGTTTCTCAACGTTTACATCAAGTGTGCTGGAAAAGAAGTAAATTCCAACAAAATCACCATCTGTGAACTAGATATTGCACTGATAGGATTTTCGGAGTAACATGATAAACTCATTTAAATCATTATGTCCTTTTTACTACTTTTGATTGGAATTTTTTGTTTTCAGTGTTGTTCGACGTAACTAATTTGGCTTTCGAAGTCTTTTGATTTGAGCAGTCGTATAGTTACGGAAAGCGTTTATGCTAGTTGGGTTTCTAACTACAATGAGGCTTAAGTGCAACAGACCCTTCTGATGTAAGACCTTTTAATTGGGTTGTTGTCTTGTTGTAATATATTAGTGTTCGTGCGTCCAATGTATGTAATGTATTAGTTGGTCTATCGCTTACAATTGAATGAATTATATGAAAATGAAATAATTTCATCCAACGTTTTACTTAGTGTTTCCGGACAAATAACATATCGCATTCGATATCTTAATATATGATTTATGTTATGATAAAATAAGATAATAAGTCATGATATGATGGAATTCCCTTATGTTGTTTGTGTTGATAATATTAAATGTTAGAGAATATCTTGCATGTTTGACATTATTTTGTTATACAAAAATAAACGACATGTGCATATATAGAAATTCTATCTAAATATATACCAAATATATACCAAATATAAGGGAAGGTAACACCATGCCACCGAAAGCTTTATTTTTATAGAGCCTAGGTGGCCGAGTGGTCTAGCGCGTCGGGCATAGAGCAAGGCGATTTGGTCCACGATATCTCAGTAGCATGAGTTCGAATCCCGGTTAGGGAAGAACAAAAAATTTGCTTCCGCAAATTTACAGATCTAACATTGTTGGGCTGTTGTTACAGAATGTATCACCAGTGATGGTGATACAAGGCCTTAAAAGATCTTGTGCTCAATCAATTCATATTTTTTTACCATTTTTATAATTAAGAACAATATCTCATTAAAAACATTAAAGGTCATAAAAATTACATGTACTTACTTGGTAGAATAATTAAAATCAAGGCTTGCAAGATCCTGTATGTACACATGTCAACTTTTGCTGGCACCATTCAGTTCCTGGACCACAGGGCATAATATATGCAATTCCATGCGCAGTACACTGAACAAAACGTGAAGGACAACTAGACTCTAGGTAAAACAATGGCGGGTCGGCTTTCACCGCTTCACTGCACTTTGTAACGACTTCTATATTAAATGGAAAAAATATCAAAAACTCACCTTTCAAGTAAACCTGTATTATCCATTAAAACATTAAATTTTGTGTAAAACACGCATAAAATTCTGAAATTTTGTCTGATTTAAGTACTACTATGTGATTTGTCAGCATTTCATTTTCATAACTTAATTACAGTTTGTTTGTTAGCTATCTTGCAAATTTAGTTTTTAACACTGCATTAAGATGATAATGCTAGTATCATATTGAAGGAAGTGTAAAATGCAAAAATATGTCGACTAAAAAGGATTGACATGGGTATAGAAATATGGTCTTCCCTGGAATCTCCCATCTAGCAGTAAAACTCATTTTATAGGGTGTCCATTTGGCTGTGTGGGATGTATAAAAACGCAGTCACTTTCGGTCTGGCTGGTTATGCTGAATCAGGTGCCTCGTATTGGCAGAGTATAACGCTCTCTCCACGTTAAAAAAATCTAACTAAAACTCCTTAAGGAGCCTAAAAGTGGCCTGTTTCAAGGCTACGTTTCCTCCCATATACAACATACACTCTTTTTCAAAAGGCAGTCGAAATATCCGTCCTTCTTACTTGTCGATCTACTTTTCAAACCAACCTAATGGTTTTTTGTTGATTTGTTTATACACGAAATATTTGCCAGTGGCCTTTAAGCAAGTAAATTACACTTCAGTAAGCTACAGTTACCACTTTAGTGAAAATGAAAACAACAATCACGAATTCAGAGATATCGATATCATTCCATATACAAGTCTTTAAAAGACTAAGATAAGATAGCATTGTAACAAGTTCTGTGCCATTGGGTCAATATTTAGGCTTTTGCGGTATCTCACGCACAATAAAACTTACCGTCTGGTGTTTTGAACGCTTTGCAGTTGGTATCGAGAACTATTACATCGTCAGTTTTAAGGTCATCAGTCGCATCATCAGCTACTGTATGTACACATGTCATCTTTTGCTGGCTCCATTCGGTTCCTGGAGCACAGGGTATAATATATGCAATTCCACGCTCGTTACACTGAACAAAATGCGAAGGGCAACTTGACTCCAGGTAAAACAGTGGCGGGTCGGCTGCTACCGCTTCACTGCACTTCGTAACGACATCTATATCAAATGGAAAAAATATCAATCGCTCCATTAGGAACGTGGAATTTTGTGCGAAAAACACATACAATTCTGATATTTTTCCGATATAAGTAAAGCTTACTACTGTTAGGGGTGTTTAACGACCTTGACTACTCGTGGAGTCTCGCACGGTCGGCTGTACAGCTTAGGAAGACAAAAACGCATATACTACGGAGCCTTTTATGGCCATTGTAATTTACTTTTTACAATTTGATATAACAAATTATTAATTTGATATAACAAATTAGTTATTTGATATAACAAATTATCAATTTGATATAACAAATTATCAATTTGATATAACAAATTATCAATTTGATATAACAAATTATCAATTTGATATAACAAAATATCAATCTGATATAACAAATTGTGAATTTCTCTACAAATAGTATGATTTTATCATAATAATGATTAATTAAAAGTTGCATAACCCGAACTGGCGCATTATGATGTATTAATTGGTTGTTCATCTGACGTCCAGTGACAAATATCTAATGCATTTTCAAAACTCAATTTACAGGTTTAATGTTTCTATAACCAACCCTCCTCCCCTTTCCCCTTCATTTGTGACTAGTTTCTCAATTTCGCATATGGGACCTGGTGCCATAGATCGAACAAATATAAGAGAGAAAAGGGGCGTCTGTTTGATCAATTTATATTGCATATTTTCAAGTCAAAGCGAAACGAAGAGTTCTATTGAGATGTTGGTGTTTTTAGGAACATAAGAACATGCAAGGATGAAAAAAATGCTTTTCCTTCTTAAAAAAGCCTGGCATGTTGCTTTAATAATTTCAATAGGAACATGAAAGGATTTATTAAACATCCTTCAATTCATCACTGCATTTGGTAGTAGAGAATTGATAAGAAGTAGTGGATTCGTAAACGATAATCAACGAGCGACTTTAGTCGCAAGTTGATTATCGTTTCCGAATCCACTACTTCTTATCAATTCTCTAGCTTAACCCATTTCTATTAAAACGACTGTCTGTTTTACGTTTTGATAATGAATCAACGATATTTCATAAAAATAGTTTAGTATTTTGTCTTTTTTATTCTATAATAGCTGGAAATGATTATATCCACACGGTTCGCATCTATAATTAGACATTCGACAAGTTAACATAAGTTTAAGATAACTTAAATGGGGTGTTAGCTCCCCTTTTTAACACCAGATTTCAGTTTTGTATATACATATTTCATTTAATGGTTAATCATTACAAATTATTTATATTGAATAGATTTTGGTATATTTAATTTATTCAAAAAGACATATATTAATATACAGAATTTATTTATCTTGTTTTGAAAAGTTAAAAAATTTTAATTACCAAAATTTAGAACCTTCAAAATTTATATATATAATATTTAGCAACGTGTTTTGGTTAATTGAAGACTAAACACCGTTAAGCCGTTCTTAGTCAAAAAAATATTGATAAGGTAGATGCCATAAATCTGCCATTTCATAATGCTCAAATTCATGTTGCTTTCCTAAAGTATTAAAATTGAACAATTATATTCAAATCTGTTTAAACTGTTTCCGTTTCATTAAGTTACGATTATTTTAACGTTATAATTTCATTTGGCATATATCGTTCACCGGTAAATAAACTAGTTTTATCTGAGGTACGCATTCTGAATCCCCATCAGAATTGCTCTTGCTACGGATGTACAATGAATAATTATCTTGATTTCATAAACTTACCATCAAGCTGTGCATAGCTGTGATCGTCTAGTCGTTGGTAACGAATGCCATAACGGTGATATTAACAGTGCAAAGTTCGAACCTTGTATCCGGAATGAAATTTTTTCATTGTAATTTTTTTCTCGATAAAAATAGTTTTAATCTTAGAGGTATTATATACTTCATTTTCATGTATAGGCGATGATTTTGTTTCTGGTTTTACAGTCAAAGAAGTAGTTTTACGGTCGTAGCTTATATATCACACTTTACTCAAATTAGAGTCCGTTCAATGTTGACGTGATATAAATAAATTTGAAAAGAACATGAACAAATCCAGACATAGTATATATATTTTGTTAGATAACAAAAGCGAATTATCTCTGAGATAGAAATACAGTTTATTGACATGTATTGACAGTTGTGCGCTTTAAGAGTGTTATTTAACTAATGATTTATGTGAGCACTCGTGGTATAGTGGTATCATGCATAGACTTAAGACTCTACTGATTATGAAGAAAATACGCGCGAGTTCGAACCCTTCATATGCCACTCGTTTTTGAGAGGATAAAAAATCGTAAGTTTAAAGTTATAAAATAAGTTATCTTAAGTTAACGAAGTAGTCAGTGGATTCTTGAAAAATAATCCACTGTAAGAACAATAGAATGACGTCAGAGAAATGGGTTAAGTAGTAGAGAATTGATAAGAAGTAGTGGATTCGTAAACGATAATCAACGAGCGACTTTAGTCGCAAGTTGATTATCGTTTCCGAATCCACTACTTCTTATCAATTCTCTAGCTTAACCCATTTCTATTAAAACGACTGTCTGTTTTACGTTTTGATAATGAATCAACGATATTTCATAAAAATAGTTTAGTATTTTGTCTTTTTTATTCTATAATAGCTGGAAATGATTATATCCACACGGTTCGCATCTATAATTAGACATTCGACAAGTTAACATAAGTTTAAGATAACTTAAATGGGGTGTTAGCTCCCCTTTTTAACACCAGATTTCAGTTTTGTATATACATATTTCATTTAATGGTTAATCATTACAAATTATTTATATTGAATAGATTTTGGTATATTTAATTTATTCAAAAAGACATATATTAATATACAGAATTTATTTATCTTGTTTTGAAAAGTTAAAAAATTTTAATTACCAAAATTTAGAACCTTCAAAATTTATATATATAATATTTAGCAACGTGTTTTGGTTAATTGAAGACTAAACACCGTTAAGCCGTTCTTAGTCAAAAAAATATTGATAAGGTAGATGCCATAAATCTGCCATTTCATAATGCTCAAATTCATGTTGCTTTCCTAAAGTATTAAAATTGAACAATTATATTCAAATCTGTTTAAACTGTTTCCGTTTCATTAAGTTACGATTATTTTAACGTTATAATTTCATTTGGCATATATCGTTCACCGGTAAATAAACTAGTTTTATCTGAGGTACGCATTCTGAATCCCCATCAGAATTGCTCTTGCTACGGATGTACAATGAATAATTATCTTGATTTCATAAACTTACCATCAAGCTGTGCATAGCTGTGATCGTCTAGTCGTTGGTAACGAATGCCATAACGGTGATATTAACAGTGCAAAGTTCGAACCTTGTATCCGGAATGAAATTTTTTCATTGTAATTTTTTTCTCGATAAAAATAGTTTTAATCTTAGAGGTATTATATACTTCATTTTCATGTATAGGCGATGATTTTGTTTCTGGTTTTACAGTCAAAGAAGTAGTTTTACGGTCGTAGCTTATATATCACACTTTACTCAAATTAGAGTCCGTTCAATGTTGACGTGATATAAATAAATTTGAAAAGAACATGAACAAATCCAGACATAGTATATATATTTTGTTAGATAACAAAAGCGAATTATCTCTGAGATAGAAATACAGTTTATTGACATGTATTGACAGTTGTGCGCTTTAAGAGTGTTATTTAACTAATGATTTATGTGAGCACTCGTGGTATAGTGGTATCATGCATAGACTTAAGACTCTACTGATTATGAAGAAAATACGCGCGAGTTCGAACCCTTCATATGCCACTCGTTTTTGAGAGGATAAAAAATCGTAAGTTTAAAGTTATAAAATAAGTTATCTTAAGTTAACGAAGTAGTCAGTGGATTCTTGAAAAATAATCCACTGTAAGAACAATAGAATGACGTCAGAGAAATGGGTTAATCTTAAATAAATTCGTTTCAACATATATTTTTGATTTGGAATTTTTTTATTAAAGATAAAGAAACATGCGTGAGATTTTGAATGATTGTGGACATTCAATTTCTGTTAAAAAGAAGACAACACGAGTATAATCTGAGCACCTTAATAACGGTATATACTGTATATATATATAAAATAAGGATTTCAGATCATGAGCAATGCAAAAAAACATTTAGGTATATATCTCTAAACACTTATATATCCTTTATGTCAAATAGAGAAGGGGGATAACCCCAATCCATGCAGACTACTTCTCATTGAGTTACCCTCTTTAAATAAAGAATTTATTATTATTATTATTATTATCATTATTATGTAATTTGACATATCACATTTCCTTTTTTGTTATATCAAATTAATAAATTGGTGTATCAAATAATTATAATCTGTTATATCAAATTGACAATCTGTTATATCAAATAAATAATTTGTTATATCAAATTAAAAATTGATATAATTGTAAAAAGTAAATTAACATGGCCCTAAAAGGCTTACGTAATATACGATAACATTTATATTTGTCTGTATGTGATTGTACAGCAATTCATTTTCGTGATTTTGTTATTGTTTGTTTGTTGTATGATCTTACAAATTCCTTTTAATACTGCATTGAGATGCTAACGTAAGTATCATATCTGTGTAAAATGCCAAAATATGTCGATAGGTTGACATGGGTATAGAAATATGGTCATCCGTGGACTTCTTCAATCCGGCAGTTAAGCCGATTTTGAAGAAAGGCGTCCGTTTGGCTGTGCGGGTTGTATAAATATGCAGACACGTCCTGTCGAAATGGTACCGCTGAATCCGATTCCTTGTGAAGGGTGGAGTGTAACGCTTTCTGCGCGTTAATAAATCGTTGGAAAAACTTCTTGAGAGGTCCGTTTGTTGCCTGTTGCAAGGCCAAGTTTCCGCCCTATCCAACATACCCCTTAATGGCATAAAGGAAGTAGAAATGCCCCTTTATGATATCTTATTCACAATAAAACTTACCGTCTGGTGTTTTGAAAGCATTGCAGCCGGTATTGAGAACTATCATATCGTCATTTTCGAGGTCATCAGCCACTTCACCATCTACCACAAGTTTAGCGCATATCTGTTCTGATGTTTGACTGAAGCAAGAAGATTTGTATTGTTTGATTGATGAAAATTTGTTTATTGGTGATTTCACCGATATAACATTGACTACTATAATTACATTAACTAATGAAAGAGACAACAAATTAAATATTTAGAAATTGACAATAAATAACGAATTTAATCTTATTTGTTATTAGTAGTGTACAGTGACTATTCAACACGTAAGATTCTAGATGTCCAACATACTATTTCGTTCGAGCCTGGACCTGGTAACTCGTTTCCACATGAAAAGCACAAAAATCTTTCATATTAAACAACACATAATTGAATATACAAACAAATAAAAGTAAAGGAGTTAAAAAGACCAATAACCAATAAAATTAGAGGGAACCAAAGAGATAGACAAAAAATCGCATAGTCCTGGAATCTACAAGAAATAAGTCACTTCGATGGAAAAGAAGAAATAAATAGCAAAAATAAAAAATGTTCAGAATAAATCTTAATTATTGTCTTTTAATGCCTTTTCTGCTTAAAATGCTGATTATGTTTTCCATTTTCTTAGGTTATAGTGTTTGTATGAATACTAATTTTATCACATTTGGTTTATTATTACGCAAAATGTAATCGTCAGGCTAAAATACCATACCCTTTATCATCGACTGCCGTATAACAAAACAAGTGGCTGCCAACCTGGATTTTAGTTGGTTTCCAAGTTACTGTCACAAACCATTCTCTACCAGTCGATCCATATGGCAACAACTCTGATTTAATCATTCCTATAGGTGAAACTGTGTCAATTGCTGTTACTCTGCTCACACAAAAAAAAAAACAGTATGAAAAGATACACTTCAAAGCAAAACATATCATATAGCATCGCGATGTTTTTATATAAGTTGTTGTTATTTTTCTGATAGACACGCCGATCTTTTATTTTTTCTTGATCTAAACAAAAAATCGAATCAGATTTTAAATTGAGAGAAAAGGAATTGAAACAAACATATTAAGGAATAATGTGCCTAAGAATATTTACTATGTATCAGATATTGCTGTTAACTGACACCCATTATATTTTCCCCTTACTTCTTGATCTATAATATGTAATTCGGTTGTTGGAGAGAATAATAAATTGGGTGACAGTTAACAGAAAATTCTAATGTACAGGGACATAACCATTATAACTTCAAATAGAAATGTCAGTAAATGGTTTTCAAATATAACTTGCAACACGTACATCATGTACATCATGATTAAAGTAAAGAAACATATATACAAACTCTATGAATAAAACAGTTGACTCGTAAAGTACAGAAAATATTGAACAAAATATATGATCTTTTCTAAGAATACATTTGCGGCTATGTTATTTAAAAAAACAAATAATGATTGAAGTCTCTAACGTCTCTATTGTTTTACTAGCAGGAATATAAGTAATATTTCAAATACATCGTACCCGAACTAGAAACCACTTACAGAGACACTTTCAGTCAAGATCTTTGTGAAATGAAAAATATAGTCACAATCACGTCTTTTTTCGTCATTTATGAGAATACGAATTGCCATTTGTCGGCAATTTTGTACATGACAAGAGCAACATGATGGTGTCGCTAGCAGGAACTGCTTTTTCTTCTGAAGTTCATCCCTTGTTTAGTGGGTTTGTGTTGCTCAATCTTTTGTTTTGTGTTTTCTAATCTGCTGTTTGTCTTTTCGTCTTTTTCTTTTGTTTACAGTTTTCCTCCCTAACCCCTTTGTATCTTCTACTCCTTCCTTTTTTTAAAGGTTGTTTCCAATACATTAATTGCTGTGGAAAGGGGCTGTTAGTATATTTGTTTTCTATCCTCTATATTGCATTTATTGATAGTTACCTTGATAAGTCAATTTGATTTTAGGAAGAGAAATGTTTCAGTTATCCCCAACATCGGAAAAAAAGTTTTACAATCAAAACGAATTAATAATATAGATGAAAATCCTTTTTTGTTTAATTTTTACTAGTCAGTAGTATAGATACTGTCTATTACAAATGATAATGCGGTTTCATCTCTCTACAGTATGATACACATAATACGCATATTTCTGTTTAACATTTTCACTGATTTTCCTCAAATATTATATAAGCCCCAAAACGCTAAAAGCTAATAAATTTTATTACTAAATACATTACTGATAATTAAATGGTTTGCCATACCTTAATGTTTCCAAACCACTTCTAGCAATAATCGTCTCATTAAAAATATTGTTGTCAGAAATATGATGAACCAAACCGTCAGTTATTTTATTGGTCGGTAAAACTGGTCTCGAGGCACACATTTCGCTTGAATTACCAACAACAATCAGAAACTGCATAGAAACACTGCTTAAAGGAACTGTATCGGAAGGATTCTTGAAGTCTTCGATTTGCAAAGCTACAGCATACCAACCAACGGATGTTGTTGCATTGTAGGTCAAAATACATGAACTCTAAAAGAAAGTCCACATCAAATTACGCTTTCGACATTATGGTTCATATGACAACAAATCTAACTGTCATGGTTTGATACAAGAACATCTAAACAATGTATTTTTGTAATGTGCAAAATGGTTAAGGTGCTATTCCATAACGTGATTTGAATTTCCATCCGACTATCAAACGATTTCAGGTGCTTTATCAGTTACGTAAAGGGAAATTTCATTTTGAATAGATTAATTACTGTTATGAACGAAATGAACTGTTGTATTCGTTCAAAAAGATAGACTTCAAAATGCTCTTAGCATGCTTAGTAAGGAGAGTCAAGTTGAATTAAAGGGTTTAAGATGTTGAACAAGTTCTCTTATTATGAATCAAATATTTAAAATTAAATTGCCTATTTGTACGAATCACAGGAGAGTAAGAAACATTAATTGTTTCCTTCCCTCGAAATGATACTTTATTCTCGGGCTACATTTTTTTCCACCAAATATAATCCAATCCGAGAAGGGTTCTGAAAAATCGTTTGGTAGCCAATGATTAATATCAATAAGCGTTTAAAGAAGGTTCAGATTGTAAAATTAAACGCTTAACCCCGCTACATGTTTATGTGTCTGTCCCAAGGTAGGAACATTTTCAGTGGTTGTTTTTGTCATATCTTGATGTTTTTGTTATTTGTAGAATTTAATGTTATTGCTTAAACAGTGGTGTTCTCTGATTTTTTAGACTCACTGTGAGTTAGAGCTTGACATTTTGTATAGGCCTGTCTATTGGTAGACTATATGATGACCTATGGATTTGTTTTTGGCTATTTGTGTCGTTGGGTTACTATCTCATTTATGTATGCCCTACATCTGGCATGTCATATATGTCTCATTTATAATCGCTTAGGCTAGAATCTTTAAATCTTTTAGCCTGATATTGATCCAGTCCAGTGGACCTTTATGAATGATTGATTGTTGCTTACTTGGTAACTTTCAGTGGCAAATTTTTCATGCATATACAGGACGAGGAAATTTATGAAATAGCCTACTAAACGGCATGCTACAATGCACAAAAATGTGTAAATAAAAAAAATCTTTCAATCCAGTGTTTGAGGCATTACAGGTACACTCTGAAAATTTCAAAATTCTATCATGTGGAGCTGTCTTTCCGAAAAGGTCTGCATTTTTAATGTCGCAATTATAGATAGATTTATGCATTAGAGTGTTAGGTTTCAAATGTCCCATTATGTTTTACCCATCTTCATATCAATGTCTATCAATTTGTATGTCGTTCTCACTAGTTATAAAGAATAGAGAAAACCATGTGCAAATGTACAACACTGCAATGTGTATAAAAATCTGTATCCATGTATACTAAGCTCCGTATAGTCAGGGGATAAACTGGTTTACGTCTGTCTATCATTCCGTCTGTGTTTGACATGAGTCTGTTTGTCTGTCCGATAAAAGTTAGGTCGCATTTATCTCAGGAACTTCAAACCAGAGTTTCCTGAAATTTGGTGTCAAGCTTCATGATAGCATGCTATATTGTGTGATTATTGTCAGATTCATCGCTCATAAAAATCCTGTTTACCGAAGATTTATATACTATTACACATAATCACTTTTCTTCAGGTAAATATGCTGTTTTATTCAAAATCCAATTTATATAGAAAACCCTACTAAAAAAATACCAATATGGAATAACCTCTGTTATCTAGAAGCTTAGAATGTATTTATCAATACTGCTGACATAAGCGTGAGTTTTAATACTTTAGGAGACACGATTGACATATTTAAATAAATACATTTTAAAATTGTATCAATCTTATAAGATATAAAAGTAGATTTTATCACAGATATATATATTTAAATCTTTCACCTATTTTACATCACGAAATTAAACAAGACTATGTTGGAAAACCAACAATGAATGACATCATTTTCGTCCAATCATAGAACAGATCAGCGACATATATCTAATCAGGTGGTTCTGAACAGCAGCAAAATATTTGTCACTTGCAGTTAACAAACAATAATTTGCACAGAAATAACGAAATAAAGTCCGGACAAATACAATTTTCATGAAAAGCCCCAGGTTCATATGTCCGTGCAAAGAATGTCAGCTTGAGAACGAAACCCTAAATGAACCTGCTATTCTCCGTTATACACGTTATAAAGTCAGCTCAATTAATTTATACATTCTTAACGAAAAAAAATTTTGACAAGGGTTTCGGAAGAACTGCAATGGCGGACTTGGGTAACACAATAGAGGGGCGTAAAGGGGAGTATCTACACAGAAGAACGCGAAATAAAATTGCCATTTCACGATGAAAGAACAATTAAAAATTTCTTGCACGTTGATCTTTTTACCGATTTCACGAAACACGGTGAATAACGAACCTTTTTTCACGGCTGCACGTGAAATAAAAATGGCAAAACACGTTGCACGAAAATAACCCTTTACCATCCTCACAATAGACCATGGCCACTGAGTGGCTGGGCATTGAAATGTGCTCAATTAAAAACAGGTGTTCAGAATAAAACAGGTGCTCAGAATAAAACATGTGGCCACGAATCAATAAATGGTGGCTATGTCACGGAATAGAAGTTCCTTCATAATATAAGTTCCAAATGGAAACAATATTCTGGAATATTATTTCCACTGGAATAAATATTACAGTAAATGTTCCAAACGGAATAAATGGAATGGAATATTTGTTCCAACAGGAACAGATATTATGACATTGTTTATAACAAAGTTTCCAGTGGAACTTCTGTTAGGCGGAACAAATATACGTTGACAGCTAAATCTTATTCGAAAAAATAAATTTAACTTCTTTTATGCGAACACTTGTCGTCGAGACTTATGATGATAGAGTCACAACCAAGGCAGGATTTCCTTACTCCCTCAGAGCACTTAATACCACTCACGATTCTTAATTATCCCGTTCGTATAATAAAGCCATCACTTATCGGTGATGTTTTTTTTTATTTTTATTGTTATTGTAATTTGTCAAGGTAATTTGTCAATGGTGCTATTGGTGTCAATTTATTATTTTAGTGTCTTTGCCTCGAAACTATCAAATTTAATGTCAAAATACTAAACATAATCGAAAGCAATGTCAACATTGTGTATAAATAGTGATGAATCTTTAAAATCTATTTGTTGTTTTGATTCTACTTTATTTTACGAAATAAATATTGTGTGGGTTCAACTACATGTTACCTCATCTAAATAAGAACCACTCAGTGTTTCACATACTCCACCGCATTCATCATTTGGAGTTTTTGTAGACCACCGACACTTTACAACATCACCATCATCATCAGAAACTATAAGATAGATTGATCATTTTATTATTATTGCCGCTGTTCATTATTTTCTTTGGCCTAATGTCGGGAGAATGCCTTGTTCTAGATTGTCCTTAATTAAAGTTTAACATTTTTGGTAGGAGTTAATATTATCTAGTATTCTCAAGAAAGATCTCATTCATTTAATTATTGTTTTATATTTATTTTCTCTTGAAAAAAACTATTGATTCGTATATTTGTCGTTAACTTACACTTTAAACTAATCTCGTTCTACTATTAGGTTTCTTTACGGCATACGTTTAATTACAACATAAGCCAAGGTTAAAGTAAATGAAAAGACATATTTCTGTTTGAAATACTAGACTGAATGGATTTCAGGTATCACCTTTTCGAATTCATTAAAGTTAAAAGATTTTCAAATAATGTATTCCATTTTATCGAAACTACTGACAGCTCCATTGAGCCTGTGACGCTCGCTAGGCATAAGTTTTTTTAAGAAGTTCGGGGTTGGGGTCCATTTGGCTCAGTTTGGTATAACACGAACTAAGGGTTTCAGGGGAAACGAATTTTAGTTTTCTATCTCATCAACATTTATATGAAACTATTTGCCTGATTGGTTGATATATTTGGTACTTAGAGGTTGGCAGTTTAAAAGTAAACTTTTTAAGTTGACAAACTGCGCTTCATTATCGTCCATACTAGTTCAATTATACCAAAAATATTATTTGATCAAATTTTTTTTAGTTTCAGCTCATATTCACGCCGGCATTATAGGTTAACGGCTACAATTCTAAAAGAGCATAATCATACTTCGATAACCAAACATTCGGTCCCCATAGGCATACATACTTGTTTTAAAAATATCAGAATTAGTCAGAATCGGTGTTCACCCTGGTGAATTTTTAGAAACAGACGCCATATTGGTTAGTCGAATGAAAAAGAAACAAGCCACCGAATGTGTGATCATGGCCATGTTTTACTTTTAATGTTTGAGAGTTGCATGGGAAGGTTTTTAAAGTTTTCGACGACTGACTGGCGCAAAGTAACGACAACTGCACAGTCACACTTGCATGAGAGAAAATAAGAACGAACTAATCTAGAGCAAAATGTTATGCATAATCGAACTGTTCATTTTTATAGTGAAAAGCAAAATTATCAATTACTATCTATAAGAATTGGGTCACTTTCTAATTTTTTAAATATAAATCACCTGGTATTTTCAATGTATAGTCACATCCATAACTGAATCTTATAATAGGCTGCATTGCAGAGATTGGAGAAGAATTTATTTTCCCTGTATCATTTCGTATGGTCAAATCTGCTATTGTCCGCATTTTCCAGCTTGAACCGCCTTCAACTAAATTTATCCAACAACAGCCCGAAAAACTTAAAAATTAAATGAAAAAAAATTGATTTAAATATACATATCGTATCAATACTTTTTTTCGTTATATTTTAAAAGATAGGCGAAAGATACCAAAGTGATAATCAAACTCATAACTCGAAAACGAACTGACAATGTCATGTCAAAAAAACAAAAAAAGGTGCTTCGAAAGGGCACCCGTCGTGTTGCTCATGTAAGTACAAAACCGGAGATAAGTCTAATTTTGAAGGTCACATTCAAGGAAAAGAGGACGGGATTGTGGTTACGATAATTGGAACATAAAGGTTAAGTCATCTCCAATAATTTAAAAGGGAAAGCTATATATACAATTTGACTTGGAATTTGTAATTCAAAAGCTTACTGGCTTATCATTACCGTTAAAATATTAAATATATTGATATATTAATCCATCTTCTAAAGATATTTACTGTTTGATGTAATGTTAACTTATTGAGTCCCGATTCAGAAAATTTAACTGCAATAAATGAAGAAAAAGTAATTTACAATATTAATAACTTATAATCTTAAAATGATATGTTTTGAATTATTTCTAACATGCTGTTGAAGTTTGACAGTTTTCTCACAATTGACTATCTTGCTGTGACTTTTGAGGCACTTCAAGGTACTTGGTAATCATATAATCAAAAATATTTTCACAAATCTATATCCCGTTTTCAATGAAAAATGCTATTCCAATACTGAATATTTTTATGGAGTAAACCTTGGTGCTTAAAAAGTGCTGAAATTGTTGCTTTGTAATCGATTAGTCGTCGGATGTGTTAAATAGAATAAATTGAAAATAACTGTTCAAAATAGTCCTTACAGTCACGTGATCAAACAAGGCGAATCTGACTTTCTATATTTGAGCACCGTTATCATATTAAGTTTGGGATTTCCAAAGTACCGTATTTAAGGCCTTCAAGGCAGCTACCCCGTATCCCATATTTTGACAAAAACCTACCCGAAATGAAGGCTGTCAATTGCAGTTGAAAGATTGTATTTAACGCTGTTGGTGCCTGTTGTCCAGTCTTCAGTTGTACTAAAGTCGGTACAGTAATAGGACATAGTAGTAATTGATCCACTGCATCCTTTTAGGCACGTCAAAGCCCCTTCACCAGAGAGTAATGTCCCGTTTTGGATTGTGTTCTCATCGCACATATGGAGAGCTCTACTTCTACGGAAACCAACTCTGTAGTTAATCTCAATCTATAATAAATAAAAGGAAATGTGGGACATATGTCAATAAAACAGCAACAAACGACACACATAACCAAAAGACATCTAAGGGTTAACATACGTTCTTCAACATGTCAAGTTCTAAAACTGAGTCTAAATATGTACTCAATGTATTTAAAGGAGACTAATAAATAACTACCGTCAGCACCAATTTCCCGAAATGACAAATGAACATTAAGATATAACAAACAAACAAAAAACAAACAGCCACTGGCGTGGTTCCTGACTTAGGCAAGGAGCATTAACATGTTGCAGGGTTCAAGTAGTTTCTTGAGATCTCAACCGTTCTATCAATCTCGATCAGTAAAATAACAAATTGTTCATAAACGAATGTCAATTAAATTTCAGTACAGGAAAACACTTTACTTTATTATATTGGTAACAACAAAAAAACCAATAACAAACAATACTGTATCATAGGATTACTGAAAGAAAAATCAGATTCTTTAAACTTTTGGTATGAAATCATGCCGTCTTACATTATACTATTAGAGGCTGTACTTCTGAGAAGATTAGAGCAACGTTATAAACAGTAAATAACGACACGATCTTGTGCAATGCCTAGAATAAATTTGCATAATTTTTCAATGTTGAAAAACAAAACGTTTAAATCTTGCTTCAAAATAATTAATATTAGTGTGATATTCATCATTAAATTATCAGCCGTAATGATTGAACAACAATGTTATAATTATAAGTTATTTTGGCCTTCCTCTCATATGTTATATCAAGTCTAATCGGCTCTTCGTAAAAACTAATACAAAATAAGGAGATGAGGTATGATTGCCAATGAGACAACTATCCATCAAAGTTTAACGGCTTTGTGACATTATATATGTGTTGGAGTCCGACTTTTCATCGTCGTACTATTGTCCCAACAATGATAAGTTTGACCCGACGTTTATAAGTTTGACCCGAATATATTATTAAGTCTTTTTCCGATTATCTTGTAAAACAAAACAAAACGAATTACATCGATCGTGAAAACTACACAAATGCAATCCAATAAATTCATAGTTAGATTAAAATCCCTAAAATAGATATTGACTAATATCATTCGTCAAAATAAAATGAAAAATTAAATACTGAATAATATCATTCGTCAAAATAATATGAATTGTTTTAGCTCTTTCACTGCACTCATACTTTCAAAAAATCCTTATATTGTGACTAGCATCTGATATCAAGAAAGGTATGTATATTATCAATAAGTTTATTAAGCCAAAAAGAAATATTTGCTGTACAATTTTTATACTCGTTAGGCTTATAAATGATATAATCGTCAAAGCGTGTTGTAAGAAAGAGACAATGTTAAGCTGAAGACTATTTTGCAAGATTTTTGTATTGAGCTGTCCGGGGGAAATATTCCTTCATCTTCTAAAAGTGTTTTGAAGCGATGAATTATATAAGTAAAATATTGACTCTCACCTGGTTATTTCCAGCCGGCTTCCATGTTATAATGCCCCCACGAAAGTGACTGCTCTCTGCTAAGTATAATATACAAGTACACCAAAATATCGAAGAAAAATACATCTTGCTAAAAGCTAATATCTTTTATAATTTGGTATGTTGAATTTGCATCGAATGCCCGATGGTTTACTTCGGTTGTTTTATATACTCTATGTAACCATGATAACTTGTGTATTGCTCAATTGATTGGTTGATAGAAAACGGATTCGAATGAGTCTAAACATCTCAGTCAAGGCAGTACTACGTTTAAGTTTAAGTGCGTAAAAACAAAACATTCTTTTCAATATGCCAACAAAAAAGATCAAAAAGAAAAGAGATCTGTCCTCAAGTATATTTGCACACGCTGTTAGTTTCGCCGAAATCACATGACAAAGTTGCATAATATACTAAAATTTCTTTTTGTAATGTAAATTGGAACTTCAATTTTTGATTTACAGTTATTTGCAAAAGTCCAAGGGTGTTGCATTTATTTATTTATATGATTTAAAAATCGTTGTGAAACGAGATTCAGTTTTTCAAATTAAAAACCCATGAAGTTGAAGTTCCTTTTCACTTCAATTTTAAATAAATCAGCAATAAATCTAAATTAAATATTGTTGGGCTAAATTTCAGATAAAGTATATACATTGTAAATTATAGCGTAGATGTGATACCCATAGATTTATATCTACGGCTGATATTCTCCACCTGATAACCTAATAGGATTATACGGGGCTTTATTGTAGCATCACAGATTACACGGACGCAAGACATTTGGTCTAAATCATAAGCGTGACGGTGGTATCATTTGAGTTAAAAAGTTTCTAGTCAAGTTAACATTTGGGCTAAATAATTTTTTCAACATGTACAGGTAAATTACAGATAAAATTAATCTATATCAATATTTGATATGAAATATATAAAATATCCCTAAGAAATATATTTTAAAATACAACTTGCATAAAAAATCAGGTCATTTGAAAATCAAGCTATAGTTTTAAAAGCAAAGAAATTGTAGTTTTACAATAAATGAGTTTACAGTTGAAATCAGGCAGTATAATAAGTTAACCATCTTTAAAAGGCAGTTTGCTTTATTTTCATTCAGGGCAACAATTATTTTTTGGGAATATTCTAATGGATTTTTTTTTTTTTATATTTTTACATAGCTGTTTTATACCTGCACGTTGTACATAGTTTAAATTAGTAACATTATGTTGGTGAGCAGAGATCATACACTGTCAGTGAAACAGAAGGGGATCATAACATAGAAACATGATGATGATCTTAACGAAAGAATTTCATTCTACATCGGGATGACCTGACAGCTAATTATTGTAGAGACCGGACCGTAGAGACCCGTCATGGACTGACCGTCCATGATGCTATACAACAGACCTGGATTTGAAATGTGAATTTTGTCCTGTCCCATGGTGCTCTCCGATTGTATAAAGATTGACGCATACAATGAAGTAGAAATATCTGCATGTCTAGATGTTTTTTTGTGTGTGGCTTTGTATTGTTGTCTCATTGACGTATACCCAATATCTCCTTTTTTGTATGAAATATGGTTAAAAGTTACAATTACAAGACTAGGATGCCTATAATTGCTTACATCCACTTCATTTGAACTTTGGTGGATAGTTGTCTCATTGGCAATCATACCTCATCTCCTTATTTTTCTATAGTGTGATTGTAAAACAAGATGTTCATTAGAGTCTTTTGACAGAGATTTCTAGCAGCCTTTTGTAATAAAAGATAGACCAGTTTATCAGATATTAATTCTATAAGTTATATATATTTTATTTACCGAAATAATTAATCAAAATTCGAGTTTGAATAGTTTGGTTTTTTTGTTTTTTAGTGTTAAACGCCAATTTCAGCTAACTTGGCTTCATCGAGGCGACCAGGTTTTACTGTTTGAGGAAGCCTGAGTACCCGCAGAGGGGAATCCTCTGACAATTCTTGTCAGTAATGGAGTGGAGCAAATATCCCCTGACTTAATTTCACACCAGGGCCATTTTCAAAAAGTCAGCCTTTACTTAAATTCATAGTACCACAGCCAAATGTGTGCACTTTAAGGTTCTAACAATATTTTGGCCTATTTCTAAACAAGAAACGCCTGAAGAATCAATAGGACGGTACGTGGTGAATTCTAAGTCTCCGTGTGCATACCAAATAAACCAAACCAGAAAGAGAATAACAATAATTTGGTCAAATAAATTAAAACGCTCAGATTATATCGAATAGTTGTTTGCATATATATAAAGTGGTTATTGAAAAATGAGACGATTTTTACTTATAATTTTTTGTATAAAAAAAACTATCATGTCAGTTTGGAGATAAAAAAAAACAAGAATTCTCGAATGAATCACTTCACCTACCCATTAGACTAAAAGTGTAAAACAGAACGCCGGTCAATTCAAGAAATTCAAATTAGGAGAAAATAAATTGAATTACAAACTGACTTCCTTGCACGCTCTCCAAGTATACAGTTTTGCGTTATCGTATCTGTCGGGTGTTGAAAAAATGACACAGATCGGTTGTACGGTGTGTAATTCCAGTGGAAAATTGCAACAAAAAATGCAACTTCGGATGACAAGAAGTTAACTATCATTTTTTATTATGTGTTCTTGTTAAGAAATATTTTTGAATAAAACATAATTATGATGTTTATCAATAAAAAAGGAAACCAGTCAATAGCCTGAACAATTTGCTTGAATCAAACGACTTCATAGATATATGGAGAAACTTAAACCCCCAAAAGATTACAATATACATGGAGACGAAAAAATCCAGTCCAGTCTAGTCGAATTGACATGTTCTTTATTTTAAAAAAATCCTTTTAATCGTAAACATAAAAATAAGAAGATGTGGTGTGATAGCCAATCAGAAAACTCTCCACAAGAGACCAAATGACACAGAAATAAGTAACTATAGGTTACCGTACGGCCTTCAACAATGAGCAAAGCCCATACCGCTTAGTCAGCTATAAAAGGCACCGAAATGACAAATGTATAACAATTCAAACGAGAAAACTAATGGCCTAATTTATGTTCAAAATAATGAACGAAAAACAAATATGTTACACAGTAACAAACGACAACCACTGAATTACAGGCTCCTGACTTGGGACAGGGACATACAGAATGTGGCGGGGATTAACTAGTTTCTTGGCGTCAACCCTCCCCTTAATCTGGGATATTAGTGCAACGGCACTACACTAGATTAAAACATACAAAACAAGAAATGAAAAACAAATATGAGAAACAGCAACAAACGACAACCACTGAACTACAGGCTTCTGACTTGGGACAGGCACATACATGTATAGAACGTGGCGGGATTAAACTAGTTTGAAGGCGCCAACCCTCCCCCTAACCTGGGACAGTGGTGTAACAGTACATCATAAGAAAAAACTATAAAAATCAGTTGAAAAAGGCTTAATTTTTTTAAATGGATACATCTAACAGAGTGGACGTGGCAGGGTACTTATACATCCGGGTAACATAACATTGGACATGTTAGTTATATTCTTATTAAAAGCGCCGACCATCAAGCAGTTTCCATATAATTACAATCTTTCTCAACATGCTCAACCGAAACCAGAGGCCCGGAATACTGGAAAATTTATTACTGTATTCTTGACGAGCAAGTGAATATCGGACCCTTTGGGACCACTTAGGGGTATTTGGCAGGGATGCCCGTGCTCTTCTCTACTGTTCGTACTGTCAGTAGAAATAATGGCTAACCAACAAAGACAAAACAAAAATAAAAGAGACATAGAATTAAAAACACATACATTTGTAGTTTGAAAATAATAAAGTCGCTAATCATACCACTCTATCACAGGCACGTGTCTCTGAAACAAAAACACCTATAAAGGTATAGAGGTAAAAAAAATCCGAGACTACTGCCTGTGCACTCTATTCCTAAAATATAAAAAAGAAATCCGAACAACATTAAATATAATTGAAAGTTTTGGTCCTATTTCCCGGACTGAATTAAACAAAAATAAAACAGAGGGAATTTGGATTGGTAACGTCAATCATTGCAGAGGTAAAGTAGATAAAATTCAATTCACAGGTAAACCCGTAAAAGTGTTAGGAATATATTTTAGCATTAATACCATTCAATTCAATGTTTTATTAAAGTCTCATCTCTCAACAAGTACAATATATATTAATAGATAAATTGTAAAACAATACTACATAAAACGAGAGCCATTATATACAGAATTATAACAGACTATTAAAATGCAAAGATGCACTTCACTAAACAATATAAATAAAGTACTATTTACAATATATAAATTGTCTACGCCTTCTTATAATTAAATAACAGGATTTGGCACACACACACTAATTTTTGGTTGTCATCTAAATTATTAAAATTTTCATTAAGAGTTTCAGCAACATAACATTAATGGCTTCTAAAATCGTCATAAAGAGGACATCTCAATAAATCATGCGCTTTGTCTTCAATAAAACCATCACATACATGACATACTCTGTTTTTTAAAACTATATTTTCATATCTCCCAGTTTCAATCCTCAGTGGGGCTACATCACATCTAAATTTGGTGAAACCGCTTCTGTGACTAGGTACTACCAACCCTATAAGATAGGCGAAAGATACCAATAGACATTCAAACTCACAAGTCGAAAATAAACTGACAACGCCGTGGTTAGAAAAAAACAAACAAACAACAGTACACAAAACACAACCTAAAGCTCTATTTGCTGAAGATGCAACGGCTTTTGCTTTGATATTATAGTCTAAATGCTCGTTCAAAACGAGACCAAGATAAGTACAATTACTAGAAAGATTAATAATATGATCTTTACAATTAGAAACTACATCATGTACAGGTACAAATGGTGGTCTAATATGTACTACATTACTCTTATTTGCATTAATTGTCATACAATTGTCTTCACACCATGTAAATAAAGCATTCAACAAAAGTTGTAGCTCTTTTTCATCGTTTGCTATAATAACAACGTCATCAGCATAAAACAAATTACACAGTTTTTCATCGCCTTCTTCTACTCCGTAGTCAAAGGACTTAAGAAATGTAACAAAATCATTACTATACATATTGAACAAAATAGGCGATAAAGAACATCCTGGTTTTAAGCCACAGTTTA